TTTTTTTTTTTTTTTTTCTCCTCACCCTCCCCATTGCTGGTGGCAGCAGAAGAAGGTGGGTAGTTTGGGACTCTTATTCTTGATTAGGGAGCACTGGAGGGAAACGCCCCTCCCATGGTCTGGTGCAGAAGGTATAGGGAGGATATATGGGTATATGTGTGAGGGAGGAGGAAAAAGGAGAGAGAGACGGCTTGACAGGCTTGTGAGGAAGAAAAGTCACTAGAAGGAAAGGGGTCCAGCTATCACTCCTTTTCACAGAGCTGAGCTCCTAGAGAGCAAAGCTCCTTTTGAGGGTGACCCCTTAATCATTGAGGGTTTATAGGGAAGATAATTCTATGGAAACGCTGCTCTTTGGCAGAGCTCTGATTACTGTCCTTGTATATCCAGGTTATAAGTGATCTTTGGGATACTGAACTAATAATAGTTATTGTTTAAGGGTTTACTTGTCCCTCAGTGGCAGGGCCGGAGCACAGCCTGAAGAGGCAAAGGTTGGCAAAGAAACTGCCCCCACACTACAGACATTGCTCCCACAGCTGTTGTTCCCACCCCCTGTTTTGATCCTAACCCTTTTGCCCATACTTCCAAAGCATGCACCAGAAAAGCCCCAAGAATCTGAAAATGTTATGATTAGTTTACATTGGATGACTAGGCCTGGGGAACCTTTTGACCAATTGCCACGGAGATTTGCTCTTTTCCTATTGCAGTCAGCATTGGTGTTCAGCAAATGGATGAAGAGCATGAACCAAAATTGTTGCCCTACTTTTTTTTCTCCATATTTTCTGTCATTAATTCTCACTTTCTATACACACTTCTCACTTTTGTGAGTTTGCTTAGAATTCACAGCAACCCTTTAATGTACAGTTTTTTGTTTTGGGGGGAAAAACTTTCAAAAGGAAATGTGGGTTATTTTGAGCAGTTTCTGTGGCAATAGCCTGCCTGTAAATAATCTAGCTGCATGCATGCATTTCACTCTTAAGGGTGTCAGGTTGGTAAAGACCTGGAGTTAAAAAACTATACTGGTCTCCCCTTAGGGCCTTTTTATAGCCATTCATTGGGATTAGATTGACTAAGATGAGTTTGGGGAGAGTCAGGGCCCTACTTTGAACGTTCTGTGTGTACAAAATGTTTGAAAAACTAGTGATTTTTTTGTAAAATGCTGTTTTCAGGTGGGATGGTGTTACAGGACCCTTTTACTTAACTGACCCCCAGTTTGGATCATTAGCATTACATGATACCCTCCTCATTTGCAACAAATTTCAAATGAATTTGAGCAAGCAGGTCGATTATAAATGTTTACAGTAACTTAAAAAAGAGCGCTTCTTGATCAGAATAGATAATAGAGTTGGCACTGTTGAGAGAAAATTCCAGATGCTGTGGTGATTAATATAACAACTTAAAATACAATCAGATTGTATCAAATTAATGCCAATTTATTGAGCTTCTAGGATTTTTTTATTATCAGCTTTGAACATGCGGTAAAAATGGGTATTGTCAAATTAATCCTCTAATGGAGAATCTGTTAGGTACCTGACAAAAACATTTTATAGAATGTTTCTGCTGTGTTGAAGTTGCAGTCTTTCTCCCCTAATGTTTTCATATTAAAACCTTGAAAACCATGCCAGATTGTAATGGAATTGCCTACTCTGCTGTTGTAATGGAAAACTTGCTTATGTTTTACTTTTTCTTTGTGTCCCTTATTGTGTGACTCTCCTGTGCCTGCACAATGAACCAAAGTGATTTCTCACCAGAGATGTCCAGGCCAGGTCTGTACCACAGAATTTGCTGACAGTTCTGCAGGCTCGAGGTTGTAAAAGCATCAGACTTCTCTGGCTCATGTAGCTCTATCAGCAAAACACCTGGTGTGGGTGATGCTGTGTCAGTGCTTCTAGTATATGGTGTTGTTTTGAAGTGATAGAACTGCTGGAAGAAATCCCTTCTCTGTTGGTAGACTGTTTTTAGCAGAGATGAGCTCCTAGAAAGCAAAGGTCCTTTTGCGGTCCTAGGAGGCTGGTCTGTAGTGGCAGTTGGACTTTGCCTGTGCTAGGAGGCCATTGCTGCCATGCCTATGGGAACAAAGCCCTCTGGTGTAGACACAGTGCCTCATGGTAGAAAGTGTTTTCTGATGTTGGAAAGGCCAGAATCTCTACCAGCAGAAACCGTCTGCCAGCAACACTGCATTTTCACTGGGGGTTTTGCCAGCCTGGCTGCATCCAACCACACCTGTAGCTGATATAGCTATGCCAGCAGCACTTCCAAGGATTGTCTTGTGGCTTATCTACTTCTCAAGTTTTCTGTCAGTTGACAATTCCTGCCACAGGGAATTCATTAGAGCATGTACTCCTGCGCAGCTTCATTATGGTAACTAATGAACAATTAATGTTGTTCCCATGATTGTTAGAGGAGTTTAGAAGATTGTTTTGGAACCTGATTTGCAAGGTTGTGCAGTCAATTGATGCTGTATATAAAGGCAAACTACATTTGACATCATCCTGTGACATGGCTATTGTGTGAATTTACAGAGACCACCATTCATGCCGCCTCCTATGGGTAGCATGCCACCCCCTCCTGGTATGATGTTTCCTCCAGGGATGCCGCCTGTCACAGCCCCTGGAACTCCAACAATGCCACCCACTGAAGAAATATGGGTAGAAAACAAAACTCCAGATGGCAAGGTAAGGCTGTAATCAGACACAGAAAAGTAACTATCATTTAGTAATATTGTTATCAGCTTGGCTATCAAGGCTGCAGATTGTGATGGTAAGAATGTGTTTTTCATGATCCTGAGTAGATAGGCAATAGGGAAGTTTCCTTTTTATTAATAATTATTTGTGTCGATGTTGAGTTTTTACTACCTGTCATGCCTTGAGGGTGGTGAGCTAGGCCATTCACTGTGAACACTGAGAATGACTGACTTTCCCTTCTAGGTCTATTTTTATAATGCAAGAACACGTGAGTCTGCATGGACCAAGCCAGATGGGGTGAAGGTTATTCAGCAGTCAGAGCTGACACCGATGCTGGCTGCCCAGGCTCAGGCCCAAGCCCAGGCTCAAGCCCAAGCCCAAGCCCAGGCTCAGGCTCAGGCCCAGGCCCAGGCTCAGGCACAGGCACAGGCACAGGCTGTTGGTGCCTCCACACCAACTACCAGTAGTCCTGCATCTGCAGCTTCTCCATCGACATCATCGAGCACTCAGTCCTCCACAACCTCCACTACAACCACATCCACTTCAGTTTCTCAGACCATTTCCAGTGAGTAACTGTGGGTTATTTTGGGTTTTTGAAGGTTGAAAATAAATATGGTCTTTTGAGGAGCCTTCAGTAAAGATTTAGGGTTTGTTTATATGAGGAATTCATTTGTAAGAAGGTAGAATGTGAATGTAAAATACCATCGTCATTCCAGAATAAACTCTTGTGTGGTCACCTTTTTTCCGGGGTAACTGTTCTGGAAGGACTGTGCTGATCTGTTTTCCTACATAGATGAGCCCTTAGTTTAACATGCAGTCCCTTTCATTGCCATCTACTTGTTTTTTCTGTTGTAGCCCCATAATAGTTTAAAAAAAACCCCCTATTATGTTTGCATTTGGTTATGAATTTACTTCAAAGCAAACCTGCAAATCTTTTGAGAGGCAGAGAAATTTTTGGAGGAAGTGTTATGCTTCTAAGAATCCCTTTTCTTCTCTTAAGCATGTCACCTGGTACTATGTTAAGGTGGAGGATGGACAAGTAAGTGCCACTCTGAATCGCATAGAATTGGTAGTTGTGGAGCAGAACTTCTCCATTTAATCCTATAGACTATCCAAGCATGATCCTTTATGTTGAGTTGACAGAACCATTTAAGAGCCTAGACACATTGCATTTGTTACACCATATACACTCTTTTAGCACAATAAAAAGTAAGCATTCATGCAGTTTGTTGCACTAAAAATGGCCTGTGATGCAAGAGTTGTTGTTTCAAACAGCAGTAACTTTGTCATGGCAGACTTTTTTCCACAACGCATTTAACATGGGCTCAGGTCTCTCGCTGACCCCCAGTATCCCACAGTTCTCCACTCTCCCTTCTCCCCACCTCCCTCCCTCCAAGTGTGAGGGAGGGAGTGGCTGGCTTCTGGATAGCTCCCCCAGACATCAAACTGTCAGGAAGCCTACAGGGATGAGCTTGCAGGCAACCCTGTCAGATATGGCTGCTGATCAGCAGTGGCTGACAGGGCTCCAGCAGTGGTGAGGGCTGATTTGGCTGAGCCCTGGCAGGCTCCCTTGGGGGCAGCAGGAATTAAGGAGCAGTGTCCTGGTTGGAGAATGTCCCTTTCACTTTGTGTTCTAGTCAGGGAGTTGTGTATATGTGGATGGTACCATAATGATTATTTTTGTAGCCCTACAAAAATGTGTCTAGGGCAGGGGTGGGCAAGATATGGCCTGTGTGCCAGATCGGCAGACACTCTTAGGATCTATATGTAATCTGTGAACTGTAGTTTAAAACAAGTGTGCTCAACCTTTTACCCTAGCAGGCTGCATGGGCAGTGTCCCATCCATCTGCAGGCCGGACTCCAGTGGCGGTCCTGATCCAGCACCGGGGCTCAACACAGTGGGCATCATCTGATCATGGAGAATGGGGGGCAGAGCAGCTCAACTGTCGCCTGGCCCCATGGAAAAAAGGGGTGTGGCTTGACCCTGCAGGGTGAAGGGGTGTGGCTTATCCCCTCTCAGGCCCATGGGGAGCGGGGATGTGGCCTGGCTGCAGCCAGCAGGGTGGGGCTTGGGGTTTGGAAATTTGGTGGGGGGAGGGTGACCACAGGCCAGATGCAGTGGTTCCATGGGCCTTATTTGGCCTGCGGGCCAGAGGTTGAGCACCTTTGGCCCGCAGGCCAAAGTCATTTTAAAGTCATTTGTTCTTTGCGTTGGTTGAGCCTGCTACTCTTCTAGTGCTTCCAGTAATAAAAGGTCTAGGAGTGAGGGGTGGACCTGGTGGAATACCTGTGGCTCAAATTGCATATCCATCACCTGGTTCCATAGTTCAAGGAAAGTGAATGAGTCTTCACAGCTGCATGGTGTGCCTATATAAAGCTGTTACAATTGCTTTCAAGTGTAAACAGAAGCCTAATCATCTGCAGGAGAAGTTTGCAGTGTAATTTTTAAATATACTGGTCTTCTGTTCCCCTTCCTGTTACCTTACTCAGAAACTTGCAGCATTAATTTAAAGACCAACTAACTCCCATTTTCCCATCAGGAGGTGCTGAAGGCCAGTAGAACTCTTCCAGCTCATGACTAAAACCATTTTTTTCTTTACTTTTAATTATGCAGGTACTAGGTTGACATTTACCCACTCTTAAACTGCAGTTGCACTTAATTGCAGAGTACATAATATGATCCTGTGATCATGCAGCTGAACTGCTGCCGTTATCTTCATGTTCATTCAGCATGGTACATTAGTTCTTTTCATTTCAGGCTCTCTAATTTTCTCTTCTTACTTTGACTCAGTAGGAGCACGTTCACATTGCATTTATCACCCCCAACAGACTACACTGGTGCTCTGGTAAACAAAGCAAAGGAACCTTTTACCTACTATTCTAGATGTGTTGGGTATATTATTCAGGGAGTGGGGGGAAAGGAAAATATTTTTTTCCTTAATGATGTGATGTTTCTGAGTGCATTTTTCTTGTAGGTAGTGTCTTTTCATCAGATGTGTACCTTGGAGAGAAAAGACTAGTATGTAGTGGTTAAGGGAAATGTTAAGGAGAGCTAAGATGTTTTCTGCTCATCTGCTGCACTAAGATACAATTCTTTTTTTTTCTTTTCCTTTTATCAGCACCTACAACACAAGACCAGACCCCAAGTTCTGGGGTTTCAGTTGCCACACCTTCAGTCAGTGTTTCAACCTCTGCTCCTTCTGTTACTCCTGTGCAGACAGTACCCCAGCCCGTCCCACAGACATTGCCTCCTGCAGTTCCTCATGCAGTTCCTCAGCCAACTGCAGCAATTCCTGCTTTTCCACCAGTAATGGTACCTCCGTTTCGTGTCCCCCTTCCGGGTATGCCTATTCCACTTCCAGGTAAACTGACAAACTGTAATTGTCTTGTCTTCTACGTGTCTATGTTGTCAATTTGTTTGCACTCATGTGTCCACTGTGTATAGAATTTGCCCGAATCCTCTCCATTTAGAATATTTCCTGAAAGAAATTAGGGTTAGCAGACAGACTTTTTAAGTCATAAGGGACAGCAACTTTTTAATGTACTTAAGTTTAATTATACAATTCATAGTAATGATTACATTTAAACATGTAAAACTTTTACTTGGATCATGGGAAAAATTGTCCTGCACTGAAAATTTCTGTTTTGTACATGAGTAATTTTGGGGGGTATGTCCATACTCCAGTCCAGTCCAAAGTAAGAAACAGTTGGATTGATTCCTTACATGAATGTGAGGCTGTTTAATCATATGTAAAAATGTTTCTTGCAAGTATGTTCTAGCACTATTTTATTTTCAGCAGAATTTGAGGTTAGAATGTAAGAATGGGTGCTGCTTTCCAAACATGAATTTAGTCCTTGGATCTACCTCACACATGTTTATTTGGAAATGGAGTAAAACAACAGAGGAAACAAAGTTAATTACAAATTCCAGAGCAGAAAAGATTACCATTCTAATGTATGTATTACACTTAAATGGTGGTGGGTGTTTCCAGACCTGTTTTCTGCAGCCACCAAGTGTAATGCTGGACCATGACACAAATAATTTGAGCTGCTTAAGATAAAGGGCAGTAATGAATTATGTCAAGGGGATGGAACCTGATTTGTTGTTTTGAGACATAAAACCTTATAAAGAAATTCTAGACAAATAGATATCTGGATATCAAAGGAGATAACAAAAATCATGGGTTGCCTTCCAGTTTAATCATTTTAATGATACTTGCTGTTTTGAGTGTTTATATTTCAAGTAGCATAGACAAAGCTGAATCCCTATAATAAGATCTAAATAATCGGTGCTTTTGAAGTATTGTTGTATGAACTACATCCTAATAATTGATTATAGCTTTTCCTGTAGTACAGATGCTTTTCAAAAGTGGTATCAGGAATCTCTAAACCAGGGGTAGGCAACCCCTCGTATGGATGTTAGAGCATGGCACGCAAAGGCCCTTTGCTTGGCGCGTGCACTTCAGGGCAGATGGTGGGGAATTGGCCAGTAGGTCTGTGAGAAGCGGCTAGTATTCACTTCAGATTTGGATTTGGCCGGTTTGGGGGACAGTGTTTCAAGTCAGTAATTTGAATCACTGTCCTGATTTCATTCAGCCGAATCTGATTTGGAGAATCGGCTGTTGCTGAATATCCAAATCAGCCAGGCCAGGCCCATCCCCCACACCTCTCCCAGCTCAGCAGTGGCTGCTCCAGCTCCTGGCACCTGTTTAAAAAAAAAAAAAAAGCCCCAGATCACTGGGTGCTGCTGGGCAATGGGCAATCCCTGCTACCTGACGCTGCATGGGGGGCTTTGGACAAGCCTCCCCTGAGCCCCTTGCTCCCCCAGCCCCCCCACAGGTGCCTCTGGCCCTTTAAAAAAAAACAAAACCAAAAATCCCCTCGCAGTTACTGTTCCTGCTGGCGGGTGGCGATCCCTGCTGCCCCGCACCATGTGGGGGGCTCTGCATGAGCCCCTGAAGTCCTGAGGCCACACCAGGAGTGAGGCGTCCTGGGGCTTTTCTCCAAGTTTTTTGTTCTTGAAGGGCTAGAGCTGGCTTGGGCAGGTCACTTGTGGGGGAAAGGGGGTTGGGGGGGGCTTATGGCAGAGCCCCCCATGCAGCATGGGGCAGCAGGGTCAGCAGGGATTGGCCCCCTGCCTGGCAGCACCCGGTGAGCACCAGGGCTTTTCTTTAAAGTACTGAGCTGGGGAGGGGTGGGGGGGGCTGGCAGGGGTCCTAGTACTTACCAGCTGGGAGTAGCTGCAGCTCTCTGCTGCTGCCACCAGGGAGTGCCTGAATCATCAAAGGTCAAAGATTTGGAAAGCTTTGAATTGATTTGGATCTTCAAATTGGTCCCCTGATTCGATTTGTAGGTTCAGCGTCCAAATCGGGCCAAATCTCTGAATCGAATGACCACCCGAAGCTTTGCACAGCCTTAGTGGCCAGGGCTGCACTACTATAGCAAGGCTCAGGCCCCTGGCTGCTACCCTGCCATATGCCTCTGGCACCCCAATGTCTTACAAATTGAGGTTGTGAGTGTTTTTGGCACTTTCTCCAAAAATGTTGCCAACCCCTGCTCTAAACCATTTTCAAAAATAGCTAAACTTAGATATCAAAATCAACTCATTGGCTATAAACATATGTGAAAGCTTCATTCTGAAGCTTAATTCATGCTGGTTAGCATAAAGCATAAAGTTGGTAGGAGAAATAATGATTTTTAGAAAGAACCAAGATGCTATACAAAACAAGTTTGCTTAAAAAAAAAAAAATTCTAAGCAAGTCATCACTGATTTAAGACCAAACAATAGCCAGCTAAGTATAATATATTGGGCTTACTTTGATAGGTAAGTATTGTAAAGAGTGTTCCAGTGAATACAGACTTGTAGCATTGAATGGAAAGAAAAATTAATTATTAAGATTTAAATTGGGCAGTTAATACTGAGATGAAGAAAGAGAAAGGTGACTTGTTTTAACTTCAGTTTTTGACACTGCCAGCAAAAGATGAGAAGAGCATGAATGATCCATATTCAGCTTCTTTAAATACAACCTGTTAGGTAAACGTGAATGCTGAATACAGTGAAAAAACTAATATAGAGGGAAACCTCCACATCTGATGAACAATGGACACTGTTTTGTTTTGTTTTTTGTGGGGGTGGGGAGAGGTTGTTTTTTTGTTAAGCTTTTAGTCTAAACATTTTAGGCTATTTCCAACCGGAACACTGCCATACAGAAGAGAAGAGAATGTGGAAAATTAAAACCCTCTGTAGTTATTTCATTCTTTTAAAAATATAAATATTATTTCTGAAGAAGGTGTAGAGGGCTTAGATCTTGGCATACTCCTATTCTGATACTAAATGTCCCTTTGAATTAGGTCCATATTGTATAGGACTCCATGCAGCATTGACAGTGTTTTTTCTTCATTTAATCTAAGCACATACTTTCCTTGATTACAGAACAAAATAAGTCTGCTTATTTCTTTCTCTGGCTATTAGTTTGACTCTCTTGAAGACTTTTTCTGATAATCCTAGAATGCCTTTGCAGCAGTCTTATCATGACAAGAAACTAATTATCCCATTAAAATAGAGAAGAGGATGTTAAAAGATTTACAATGTTTAAATGTGTTGCGATATACATGAAACCATCTAGAGAGGTCACTTTGTTTCATGAAAACAGAAGAAGTGAGTAATTTAGTTTTCAAATGATCCTGACAGTAAGTTCTGTGGCATTCTGCGTATTATTCTATAATAAGACAATGGAAGAGTGCATTTAGCAATGCCTGATGATCCCATATCTTGAAAAGTAGGTCTGCTTGCTCTTAATTCATATGATAAAGTTAGTTAAACATTAGAGAATAAGAAATCTGTCAAAGGAAACAGTTTCTTCTCCTCTTCCCCAACGCACCCATGTAAGCTACTTCTATCTGCACCATAGTGCAGTCAGTGTCACTGATCATGCAGATGGCATTATTTATATTGACCTAGTTTTAAGACGTGCTGAACTTCCTTACAATTAATTTTTTCATTTATTTAAAATGCATGAACTTATTTAAACTGTGTAGCATGAAAAGGCTACCAAACCCAGACAAACACTTCATTCAGTACCGTTCTATTTAATGCTTTTTTTTTGTCTTGATCCATACATTTATAAAGCTAGTTTTGAATTTTTTAATTGAAATTTTCTAGTAAAGGATACAGATTTATTTATTTTTTTCAATCAATTGGCCATATTTTTTAACATATTAGATTACTTGGGCAAAAAATTATGTATTTTAGTTACAAACCCGGGGGTTTAATTTCATTTAGTGTTGGATTTCTTACCCCACCTCTATTAGATGGTGGGATAGAAACATTTTAGGGAGTGTACATTTGAGTTTTTTTAGTTTCCAGTCTTACACCCTGGATTGATATTCAAATCTTACACAGTCACTATCCTGCTTCCTAAAATGAACTGTCTTTTAAAATAATTTTTTTTTCTTTTTCTAGTCTCTCTTCTCTCCTATCTCATGAAGGAGATTAGATACTGTGCTTTCCATAGCCTTTATATGTCATTTCTTGAAGAACTAGAGAGCAAAGCATGGTGCTTCCTTTCCAACACCTGTTTTGGACCTCTTTTACAGTATTTTGAGCCCATGGTGCTCCAGAGAGTGAAAGACAGATCTATTATATGCTACCACAGACTCACCAGTGTCCCCTCATTTACAGGCTTTTGTTTACCTCTTCACAGCTTTCTCTTTTTTTGTCCTTCCTGCAACCCCCTCCTTCTCTTACCTTCAGCCTATGCCTTTTCTTTTTTCCATTTCCCCATCATTTTTGCCCTTTGGTTTCAATTTGGCCTTTACCAACACAACTCACTTCCTTGTCTTACTATTTTAAACTTGTGCCACTACCATTACTAGCAGTAGCAGGGTGAAACTCAAGTAGGCTTCGTTGGTTTCATTCTGCTGTGGCTCCCTCTATTGACCTTCTGGGCAAATACTGTCAGCAGAAACAGTATACAAGCACAGTCTTCTTCTAGGTATTGTCCTGTGAAGAAGTGCGTGTCCTCCCCCACACTGAATTTAAACCCCTGAGTCCTCTCTCCAGTGTTTTTCAAAGTCCTAATATATGTTAAACTTAAAACTGCTGGTTCAATGTAGACAGTAATTGCTGTTGTAACTTGGAACTAATTTTATAGTTCTAGCTTTTTATAAAATGTTGGAGCAAAAGAAAATATCCGTATTCCTGCTTGCTTTGTCTTTTGCCACTGAAAAATGGCATTCCAAATTGTAGCAGGAAATTGATAAGATCTGACACCCAGTGGTAGCTGACATACAGTGGCAGCTTTCCAACATGCTTGCTTATCCATTTTACAGGTGTAGCAATGATGCAAATAGTCAGCTGCCCGTATGTAAAGACAGTCGCTACCACCAAGACCGGTAATTTTTAAAACCATCTTAGTTTGTTTTGTCTGTAAGTTGGCATGGTAGTGAATGTTGTTGTTTATCTTTTTATTTACTTTTTTTTTGCTTTCCCCAAATGAGTGGATCTGTATACTTTTATTTAAAAGAGAGAAGATAGCGTTTATGCATATTTGGCCAGCAGATACCTTTCCCAGTTAACTAGTAGTGTTAGACTATTTAGTACAAAAAGCTATTCAAGTCCAGATCGTTTTAACTGTTGAATTGTGATAAATGTCAACCTTCTCATGCCCATATTTTTTAGTTTGTTTTATTTTTTTGTGGGGGTTTTTATGTATTTTCTACTTCCATGTATATAATGACATGACTGTGCTTGCATGTTGGTGTGTGTGTATGTGTATGTCTTAGCATAAAGTGTTCACTGTTTAAAAATTAGCTGTTCTCTGGAATAATAAGTGTTTTTTGTCTTGGTTAAAAAATAGACTTTTACTGTATTACTAAACAGCTCTAAATTGTGATCTTATTGCTCCGTATTCACTTACTTTGACATCAGTTTTGTTTTCTTTAATGATCACTGTCCCACAAAAATCTGGTGCATCAGTGTTGCTGGGAAGAAAAGGCAACCTGGACAGAAGTTAGTTTATTGGGCATGTGCTTGCCTTTTTGCCCTGGGACAGGGCTGCCCAACTTCTAAGCAGCCAGAGGCTGCATGCCCCATGGGCTACGCTAGCTGGGGCTGCATCAGTGGTGGCCATGGACCCCCAGGGACACATGCCACCTAATCCCCCGGACTCTTGCTCCCGCTTCTCTGCTGTACCAGGTGCCCTGTCTCATCCTAAGTTCCCTTGCTGCATCATGCCACTCTGGTGCCCTGAGTCATGGGCTCCCCCACAAAGGTAACACCTGAGGCTGCTGCCTTGAATGTTCCCTTCAGTTACACTACTGCCCCCAGACTCTGGGCTGCCTTGGGTTGCACTGCTCTGCTCTCTGGGGCAGGGAAGGGGAAACTGTACAGAGGGGGGTGCAGAGCCCCCAGCTGCTTCTGCAGGTGGAGCAATGTGGGAAAGCAGCAGCCAGGTGGAATCCTGTGTGGAAAGAGGGCAGTTTTACACCTTGTGGGCTGCATGTAGCCTGTAGGCCACCAGTTGGACGGCCCTGCCATAGGACATGAATTAAAGGGATTTACTAGCCTATCTCAAGTATGAAACAAAACCATCACCCAAGCTTAGTTCCCTGTGACTTTTTAATTGTGCTGTCACTTTTTGCCTAAGGCTGAAATGAGCATTTTACAGGTCAAGCTATATTGGAGAAGCAAACTCTACATAATGATGATCTGGCTTTAATTTAGCTTGCCAATGTTAGTCACTTTGGAGAGCGCTAACACATTCCCTATTCATTTGAAAAATAATACCGTTTTACTGCAGAGCATGTTTTTGGAATAAGCAGTTATATGCTACAACCACTGAAAGATTTCTGAACATCACATTGAGGAGTTGCTATATTAGTCTCAAAGCACTGAAATTGAACAACTGAAATTCTAATAAGTTTTGTACTGTTCAGCATTAGAAGGTATGCTCTTCAAATTACTTTATATTTTAAATATAATAGTAATTCCCCAGTTGATTATAATCATTAGTGACTTAGGTGGAAGTGCATTTTAATTACAATACATCAGTTTCCAGTTTTTGACTGAAATAGCTTGTTTCTAAGTAACTTGCATTAATCTGTACGAGGTAATTTAAATACCTCCAGAATTGTTTTACTAAATTTGAGTCTATGTCACAAAATGCTACTTCATTGTTCCTTGCTGTTTTGTGTTTTTATTGCTCCTTTTATATAGGTGTCTTGCCAGGAATGGCCCCTCCTATTGTACCTATGATCCATCCTCAGGTTGCTATTGCCGCTTCACCTGCTACCTTGGCTGGAGCAACAGCAGTCTCTGAATGGACAGAGTACAAAACAGCTGATGGGAAGACTTATTATTATAACAATAGGACATTGGAATCAACATGGGAAAAACCCCAGGAACTAAAAGAGAAAGGTACAGTATTTGATTTTAGAGTCCAGCCAGGTATGATCACTTCATGATTTCTGTGATCCCATTTTAAAATTAGAACCAGATTCCTTTTTATTCTTCTTGTTTCATAATCAGGGCTTTTTAAGTTGGCTTCTAGTTGGAAATATGGGTGAGTCATAAGTTTTAAAGTGTAGTTCTTTTGTCCTCAACTGTGATGCTGGAATATTTCTGTTCATTTAAACTAGGAGTGGCCAACCTGTGGCAAGTGTGCCATAAGAGACATAGGCAGCCTCTCTGTGGCACACAGCAGATCGGGGAGGGGGCAGGGAGCAGCTGCAGATTGGACAGGGGGAGGGGATTGGAGTGGCGCTCGGGGAGGGCAACAGGGCTTAATTTGTTGGCTCCAGTGAATGCGTACTTTTTTCTCCAGTAACAAGTGAACACCTCTTATGTTAGTATGCTAGAAGACAGCTCAATCGTATTAGCAGAGAAAGTGAAAAGAATACTTGTAAAAGACTTTCTGTGTATATTTTACCCTTGGTACAAAATCCATTAAAATGAAGACCACTGAAAAGCTTAGACATTGAAGAAATGAATGTATGCAAAATCTTGAGATGAAGAGAACAGGGAGGGTTTGGGATGGCAGCAGAAAATTAAGCGTCTAAGATAAATGATCCTCAATTTATTTAATCCAGATTATATCTCTGAACAGTTTTCCATGCTTCATCTTCCTTGCCTCAGCTACTCTAACTTAGGTAGGTCTGTGACATCTTTGGATCAGGGAACCATCTTCCTATTTCTATTTGAGCTGATATTGGCAGAAGAGAATCTGGCCCTTTCAGGAGCACATTATAGTCAAGTTCAGTGAAAGGAGAGTGGCAAACAAGAAACCACAATTTAACTTCATGAATATTATTTTTATTGCTAGCAATACTACATTTTATAAACCAAATCTGAGGTGGGTTATAAGAACTTAAGTGACTACAGGCAAACTATTAAAGAAAAATCATTCTCTTCCTAGAAAAACTGGAAGAGAAGATTAAAGAGCCCATTAAAGAACCTACTGAGGAACCTTTGCCAATGGAAACAGAAGAAGAGGAGCCCAAAGAAGAACCCCTAAAAGAACTTATAAAGGAGGTAAGACACTGCAACCAAATAGTCAGGACCTCTATTTTTAATCCTTTTCCTGTATATATGTATGGATCCCCTGTAGACCAGGCATATTCCTGGAAGATAGTGATTTGAATTCTTGCATTCCAGGGGTGATTTGAGAATTATTATTTTTTATTATTGGTTTTCTAGTGTTTTTTTAAATAAAAAAAATTATTCAGAGAGAAAAACAGAAAGAATGTATGGAGTAGTACAGTCAGTTAGAATGTGAAAAGTAAAATAAAGCTTTGGCTCTACATATACTCTGTATAAAGTCCTCTCATTAGGCTTGACATGTTTAGAAAACAAAACATTCTGGATGTCAGGGTAGCTGGAATTTTAAGATAATTGAATATTTGCTTATTTGTTTTGCACTATTTTGAGGCAAAAACTCAATTTCCTTTACACAGTAGAACTGATAACCATAGTTTATTAAAAAAAATGCTATAGAAAGCTTTCTGTCTCAATATAGAACAGTTGTTTTCTTTAAAATGACAAGAACCAAAATAAACCTTTTCCTTTTGTAAAGTATTTTTGTATGCTAATAAAGGTATAGTGCTTAAAAATGCTACGCTAAACATTAAAATTTTGTATTGTGCCATAAAAATGCAGTGTAGATTAGTTAACATTAACATTGGGCAGATTGCATTCAGTAGTACAAATGCTATATTATCAGTTTGCTATGCTTATTTTGGAGGGAGTCTTTCTGTTTGTTTGTTTGCTTTTGTTTTGTTAGCTTGAGTTTGATTTTCCTACTGTAAAGGCAGTTATAGAATTTATGTTGTACGTATTATATAGTACAAGTCTTGTCTTTAAGGTCACGTAGCTTTTAGAATAGACAACTTTTCTTTTTTTTGAATTTTTTCTTTAAAATAGAAATCATACCGTAATCCATTTGTTTAGGTCCTGTTTCAGGGAAGCATGTGGATGCAGGTAAGCATTTACATAAAATTCCATTGAAATCGAAGTTAAGCGAGTGGTTAAGTGTTTTCCTGGATCGGGGCTTTGACTTAAATAGACACTGATACCTGTATGATAACCACAACACTTTCGTAATTGGAAGGATGGATGGAAAGTAAGTGTGAGCTGCTGATCAGATTATTTAAAATAAATTAATTTCTTATTTTGATATAAAAATATTTGTATAGAGAGTACGGCTGAATCTTAACCACCTTTTTCCCTATAAGGAGCCAAAAGAGGAAGAAATGACAGAAGAAGAAAAAGCAGCTCAGAAAGCAAAGCCAGTTGCAACCACTCCTATACCTGGTACCCCATGGTATGTCATGATCTTTCCCAGTGAACACTTCATAGATATTCTTATTCCTTTCCCTGTAATACATTGCAGAAGGCTTTGTGGTGATGAGCAGATGCCAAATGGTTTGAACCATTCTATGCCTGTTTGATATCAAATCCATCTATTGAAGATAGGAATGTTAGAATGTGCAAAAGGACTTGTGGCAAATTTCACCATCGAAGCCTGCCATTTCTTAGAGGATGAAAGGCAGTGCCAGGTTTCTTCCAAAGCGTTTCAGTAGTTGCTCATGTTTGGTGGCAGGCTCGCATCTTGTAGCAGCTATTCAGGAACAATTTAGTTGGTAAGAGCCTTCCTGAGAGACGTCATAGGGAAAAGAAACTAAGACTGGAACTCTTCAGCATAAGAACCTGTTCTCCTGATCTCCAAATGTGCATTACCACCTCCCAAGTGCTTCTGGCAAAACATGGCTCTTCTTGCTAAGACAAATTGCCTCTGTTTTATGAAAAGATGTCCACAAAAGCATCAAGGAGGTTCAGGTTGGAAGGGCTGGTGACATACAAAACTTCCTTGCAGGCTGCTTTGGAAGCACTTGATGCATCTGTGTGCACTGTGGTCATAATGGTGGCTGTATAAAGAAGGCTCTTGGCTCCATTCGTTAGGGATTATCCAGTGAAGTTCACGCTGGAATAGAAGATTTTCATTCAAGTGCCATAACTTGCTTTCGTTTTATGGTTTTCTACCCTGCGGCCCCAGAGAAAGTTAAGTAAATGTCAGGCTTCCTTCAGACAGTGTCTTTCTCCCCTTCATGCTGTCCCAGAGGTGGTACTGGAGCCATCGAGTTAAAAACACATGTTTCAGTTTGTGTGAATGAGTGCCTCTTCCACAGCTGCAGGTATTCCTAGCTTTCCCAAATTCTTGTCTCATGCTGTTTCAGAGTTTAGTCTGAAATAGTGTATTCATCTCCTAGTTTCCCTTTCCAAGCCCAACACAAACCCAAGAGAAACGTATTCTTGATAGGTAAAAGTTATTTGTCAGATTAAGTGTGTTAACATTATTATCCTATATAATATTTACTGTAACAAGACAAAATCGTTTAGGAATGTATTTGAACATGCTAGATCATTTTACTAGAGCTTGAAGCAATTTCTGCTACATGTTTGAAGAATGTTCTTATTTCTGTCTAAATGGATTTGTGGTGTGGTGCTATCCATTTCTCTGTGCTCCTTGGAAACACTTTATGGCAAAGTTGAAGATGATTAGAGGTGATGCATTCAAAGTTGCTTTCCATCACCGCCACAGAACTTGGCTTTTGTAGCCTCTTTTTTGAGGTCTTTCCGTAGAAATTTTCTTGACAAATGTCTGGTCAGTTTTACAGTATTCTGAGCTATATCAGTAATGCAGATATTTTCCTTTTTACTGTTTGAGAAAGCTGTGAAAATTGTAGTTCTGTAGACTGAGTTAAGATGATGGTGGCTTTTGGTAATTTTAAAAGTAAGGGGTTTTGTTTTGTTAGTTCTTTAAGTTTATATTTTGCAGAAAATGATGGCTTAAGGCCACATGTGCCCAGAAGGGAACTTTGTTTTATAGGTGAGCCCAGGATATTTTTATCCACACTGCACTCTGTTCGTGAATACAGTTTAATTCATGTAGCAGCTACTTGGCTGCTTCTGTTTCTGCAAAATGAATAGTAAATAGCTGAACTGGATTAGAAATGTAAGGTTCCTGGCAGGGAATGTTAGAAAGCATTGTGACTTATTCTGGGAGACTTGATATTCTCTAAACCCAAGAGGACTAAAAGAGGCACATGTGTGCATCCACTTTCTCTTTCTCTCCTTTAAAAAAAAATCCTAGGTGTGTGGTGTGGACTGGTGATGAACGGGTTTTCTTCTACAACCCTACCACTCGTCTCTCTATGTGGGACCGACCAGATGACTTAATTGGAAGAGCTGATGTTGACAAAATTATTCAGGAACCTCCTCATAAAAGAGGAATGGAAGAAGGAAAGAAACCAAGTGAGAGCAAAATCACCCTCAATATCAATTTCCTTCGTTATAGACTGTAATCAGATTTCCATACAAACTCAATTGTGCGCTTATTTCCAGAACAAGGAGCATAAAAAAGTGAACTGTAAGCAGATATTGAAGTTATAGCTATTAAACAGATAGTTCATTAAGTTAAGCCCGTGATAGGGACAGTGAATTGCAGATGTCAAATGCTCGGAAGAAAGTGTACCAGAGAACAAGGGGAATCCTAGTTAGAGTTAGGAAACATGCTGTATTTACAGGCTGAGGAAATGAAAAAATCTTTTATTTTCTTGGAGGAGGTAAAAAATTATTTTAGAATATTATGAGGAGCAGGAATACGTTTTTAGTCTAGAGAAAAGATCAAATTGTACAGATAAGATGCCAGAAGGTCTGAAGGATGATAGAGACTAATTAACATAACATTAACTGGAATGAAATTGTTGAATACTAGAAACAGTGTCTTATTTCAGGCTGTTAGGGCAGGTTTTTTTTTTCAAATTCTCCAAAGGCTATTGAGGTGATGCTAATTTTGGCATAAGAAGAGGTGACAGTTACCATCCAGCTACTTTGTGTCAAGGATGAGTTTTCATGATAGGTTATGAAATAGTTTTTTCTTCCTCTGTAAGACTGTTAATGAGACATATATGTTACAGTTAAAGAAGAACATGAATCAACAGAAGAAGTCAATGAGGATGAGCCTATTAAAACAAAGAAGCGGAAGTAAGTTAAATTTCATTCTTGAATGGACTTAGCTTGGATATAGAATACCATACTTTCATTTGCAATACTGTTAAGTTAGTGGGGTTTCAGTGAGTGTAACAGCAAGGGTGTATAATACTTGTTTTTTGCTGAAGTTGTTTATTTTGAGGGTTTGGTGCCTCTCAGAGCTGGGTAGAATTCGCATTGAGAGAAAATTCCATCCTCTGTGGAAGTCATAAATAATAAATGTGCTTGGGATAGAAGCTATCAGCAATAGCCAGATCTCCCTTAGGAGCATTTTGAGCTCTATTTACATTATATAGTTCCATGGCATTAGCATATGCCACTCATTTGCTTTTTCTTCTGTTTACTGTACTTGCACAGATGTTTGTTGCCCAAAATCCAGATCAGATCTGGATTTCCTAGCTAGAATCTCTCAGAAAAAAACACCAAAAAACAACTTTTAACTGTATTTAACCATGTTGTATATAGTAGAGGATTGGGAGTTATTCTTTTGTATTCATTTTTTCTGTAGGAAGTTGAGGCATGCATTATTGCTCTGATAGCTATGTCTGTATAACTTGTTACAAGAGTAGCTTTCCATTTTGATATCTTGTTAGTAGTCATGATTAATATGCTGAGGAGGGTTTAGAAATTAATTGTGATTCACTTCTTAATAAAGACTTATTTGTAATTGTTGCATTAAGGACTCTAATGTCCCAGTCTTTGTTCAGGAGCTTATGATGGTTTGTGCAAACTTGTGTTACTGGAGTGCTCTGTTGTGTGAGTTGTTTAATACAGCTAGAACTCTTAACTACAGAGCGGATATCTCACTTCTCAGCAGATACTATGCATTTCATTTACACAGGAAAGATGATAACAAAGACATTGATTCAGAGAAAGAGGCTGCTATGGAAGCTGAAATTAAAGCTGCTCGAGAGAGAGCCATCGTCCCTCTGGAGGCTCGAATGAAACAGTTCAAGGATATGCTGCTAGAGAGGGGGGTAGGAAAAGCTTGCCTTTTGGTGGTTTGAAATAAAACCTTGCTCATTTGCATTTTTCTAATATAAAGTCGAGAAATGCTTGTTCATGCAAAGCAATCGTTCTTTTTCTTTCCAGGGAAAAATTTAACACGAGAGGGCTGTGCCAATATCCCATAATTCTGGGGATCATTTGTATACACTGTTTAGTGGTATCTCAGATAATTAACACAGAACTATAGTTGTCAAACTAAATGAACAAACTGTGTCTGTGATGTGTTATCTTCTTTCATTTGTATTCATTAATCCATGAGACAGTCATTAGCGTGAATTGGAGGATTCTCTTAGTTTTTAATTTTGTAGTGTTCATTTTCAGGTGGTCACAGGGTTGTGCTTCCATATGAAAAAGAAAAGAGGATTCAATCCCTGTACCAAAGATTTCAGTTAAAAAAATAATTGGGTGAAAACTGAAATTAAAGTTAAATATCACCTTATTTGCCCCTAATTTTTTTCCAATGTATGTGAGTCAAGTAGACACCCAACACCTACTGACAGTAAGTGTGAGTTGGACAACCAGGCTGCTTACCTTCCTTCCCCCTCTGCCCCCCCCCCAACCAACAACAAAACAAAATAAAACGGTGCTTTAAACTCTGCGTGCCCCTGTGTTGAGCCCAGCACATGCCGAGAAGAGGCATTGCATTAGTTTGACCCAGGTTGCCCAACATTTGTATGGATTTTTGGTGCTTTTATGTAATAGCTGATTAAACAGCTATTAGATAAAAGCGCCAAAAAGTCCCACTGAAGTGCCTGATCTATACAGATGCTGCAGAGCCAGGTTGAGCTAATGTGCTGCTGCTTCTGGTAAAGCACTTTTTTTTTTTACTTGTTGTCAGCTGTCCTGATTCCCACTTATGCCTTTGAAAATCTTGCAACAATCACAGTGTGAAGCTAGTAATTCTACTTTGCTTCCCTTAGGCTGTCCTGCTAAAATGGGGAAACCAGCTATTTCCTTTTTAATGAATTAAAGTAAATTCGAAGCTTATTTTCATATCAGTTGACTATTACAGGTACACTGGCTTCCCAGAATGGTAACAGTATTCTAAGATTGAAGTAATGCTTTTATAGCTTTTATTTTTCTCAAAGGCAAATAACAGCTTGCGGGTGTCTTAGAAATGAGTTCAACTGAGATGAGCTTGCACGTATATTTTTTTTCCAAAGAAAAGATCCAATTGTGTACAAACTATTCAGTTTTTTCATAACATTTGCCAAAGAAACAGAGCAGGTCTAGGAAATCAAAATGCAGAACTTCAAAGCTCTCTTGTGATGTAGTGATTTTTTTTTTTAAATGCCACACAGTAGTGGTTATTTTAATGAGTAATTAGGTTGTGTGTTACTACTTTGTAATTATGTAGAAGTTTTCAGAGCAACATTTAGTGTGGAAATGTATCATGCTAACCTCCCACTGCTCGTTATGTATTAGTGATGGAAACTTCAGTCTTGGTTTCAGTTGTATCTCCTTTTTAAATGATGTCCTGTAGTTTTCAAGTGAAACTGCATAACTTTTGTATCTTTGGGAGAACTTAATTATCAGGCAGAATTGTCTTTTTTTTTCCCCCCTCCTTCCTTCTTTGTAAAGGTTTCTGCCTTTTCAACATGGGAAAAGGAGCTGCACAAGATCGTTTTCGATCCTCGATACTTGCTTCTCAATCCTAAAGAAAGAAAACAGGTAAAAGGAAAGACCAGCTTTGTTCACTTCCAACACAGGTGTTAAAGGCAGTAAAATAATCTTTGACTGAAAGCTTAGTTTTGCTTTTAAACTTCTTAGAGCATGTGTGTTACAAATATGTGTTTTGGTTTTTTTTTTTTCCTGTAAGGGGAACAGAAGCTGGTATGTCTTCTGTGGTAAGATTTTATTCCTTTGCAAAGTGAAGATTATACAGGTCCAGGAGGCTGCCAAAGATGCTGTAGTATTGTAAAATCTTGGAAAATTAGGGTTGGAAGGGACCTCAAGAGGCCATGTAGTCCAACCCCCTGCTCAAAGCAGGACCACCCCCACTATATCGTCCCAGCCAAGCTTTTGTCTAGTTCAGGTCTTAAAACCCTCCAAGGATGGAGAGTCCACAACCTCTCTGGATAACTTGTTCCAGCCAGTGCTTTACTACCCTTCTTGTGCTCCAGTAGTGAGAGCCTTTAGAGTATTAAGGGGTTGCAAAGCTGGCATGTTGGGGGGAAAAAAAATCTAAGCAATGAAAAAACTCAGGGGCACATACGAGAACAGACATGTGGTATGTGGCATCATAGACCTATCTGTGGTGCCACACACTGTGCATGCAGGCATTCTTTGTGCTGCTCCATGCTGCTATGTTGCAGTGCAGAGGAGTTACCGATGAGATCCCGGGGTCAAAAAAAACCTGCTCCTTTTTAAAAAGTGGGGTGGCACGCATGATGGCAGTGCGTGCTGCCCAAAACCAGAGACTACCCTGGTGGAGGCACAGTCTGGCTGCCAGCCAGGCTCCCAGCTGCAGAAGCGCCATGGCTGTAGTTTCCCGAGGACCCCGGGTAAGGCTGCTGGGGCCAGCACAGTTGCTGGGTCCAGCATCCCCTATCCCACCTTCCCGTGTAGCATGGGCGCTCATTCTCTCAGTGCAGGTAGCAGCAGCACAAGGTATGCTGCTGCTTTTCCCTGGGGAAACAAATGTCTGCGCTCATGTGGACCAAGCAGTCTACATCCTTTACTTAACTGAAAAACTGAAAATCTTATGAGGAATATTTTTTTCTTTACATAATACTCAGAATTTGCTAAATCTTATTTTTTGTATTGGTATTTTTAATACTTCTAAGTAGTTTTTTGCTGAGCAAAGAGGTTATCAGTAAAGTGATGATACAGTAGATGGCCTTTTCCAAATGCAGATATAGTTGGCAGTGAAATAAAAGGCACAGGTTATGTTATAGTTCAGTTGCTGTGCAAATGTGAGTTTGGTATGAATGGATAGTGTCTGTTAGAATAGAAGTGAATCTCTTAACGTCAGAATTCAGGATTAGCAAGATCTCAGTGGTAATACAGAATATATCAATCCTTCTTAGACAAAATCTTATCCTGATTTCTTGTTTGTGAAGGGTGGATAGGTCGTTATTTCCAAAATGAAGGAATTTTTAAGTTTTTTCTGAACAGGAAAGATGCCGATTACTTTGAATATTGGGTACTGTCAGGGTATGCTATGTGGTGGAGCAATGGGTTATTTCAATCTGACTACTTCTAAGGACTGATCAGCAATCTGGGAAGGAAATGGAGGGTCTGAGGCTTGTACAAAGGCCCTGTGTAATTGTAAGATTTCTCCACTGATCTGAAGTCAGATGTGTTGGGTTTGTGGGCTAATGCAAGCACACTGTCTCATCCCACAAACCAGGTAGACGAAAATGCTGGAAGATGGTGGAATCTCTTACCCTTACCTTTCCCAAGTGGGCTTTTCTCACAAAGGGGACAATATGGGTCCAGATTTGTAGATCTTGGGTCAGATTGGTTTATTTTTCTCTAGGTATTTGACCAGTATGTGAAAACCAGAGCAGAAGAAGAGCGCAAGGAAAAGAAAAACAAAATAATGCAGGCCAAGGAGGATTTCAAGAAAATGATGGAAGAAGCAAAGATTAATCCAAGGTAGGGGACTTATTTGCCATCCCATGTAAAAGCTTTTGTCATGTCAAACAGACTCTTTCTTTTTGCAGTAAATAATTCCACTTATAGTCCTTCCTCTTTCCAAATGGCTATACAGAAAGAGGAAAATGAAATATAGACGTTGGGGGATTTGTTTGAAAAATTCCTCTGCATGATTGTGACCATTTATCCAAGAAAGTACTAGAACTTGGGTTTTGTTTTTTGTAATAAATATTTTAAGACACTGCTTGTGAATTTGAAGAAATCTGCATATTGGATGGATGGTGAGAGAGTACAAATTTCCCTTAAATGTTCTTGAGTGACTTATAGCTTATAGGATTCCTTCTGGCCTTAGTTTTGAGATGCCTTGAACATACGGGTGTGTGTGTGTAAAAGCATGTATTTGTGACTATGTATCTATATAACATAATATTACAGAAAATATTAACTTTCTGCAGGATAAAAATTACAGTGAGTCTACAGCACGCAGGGATACCTACTCTGATAGTAGTGTAGTGTTTGTGGTATGTATATTGGGTATTTAAGCTTCTGTTGACACGGTCCTCCCAATTCCCATACATACAACTCATAAGATGCTGTCCTTGTGTCACTTAGTAGTCTATAAGAAATATATTATACGGTCTGAAATGGAACAATGGTTCTAACCTTGACCAGTCAGGAATTCCTTTAAGCTAAATTAACTGTTTGTTCAATTCCCTTCACAACTTTGTTTCAGTGATGAATACTGAAATGTGCTGGAAGCAGGCATACCTGGGCATTAACTTTGTTACTAGACTTCTTGTTTCTCAAAACAGTCTTGTGTGGTTAATCACTTGGTGAGGGTAGATGAAATACTGCTTCTTGGGGATGAGGGAACAGGGATATTTTGCATACTTTAATGGTTGCATGTAACATATCCTACAGTATGTTTAATTGTAAACTGCTTTTTGTACTTTGCAACCTGAGTAAAATAAGGGCTGTTATTTATAAAGGGTGTACGTATATTGAACTAACACTGTTTTTGCTTAGACTAAAAAAAAGGGATGGTGGGGTAGACGAATGCAATCTCCAATTGAGGACCTTCATGGCTTGTGTAACCCTATCCTTCATCTTCTAGTTCCAGTGTTTCTCTAAGACATAGCTGCACTTCCCTGGGTGTTAAGCTACTTAAAAATAAATCATCTTTCCCAGTCTAACATACTCAAAAGTTTGTGTTCCATCTTTCTTATACAGCTCGTGTTCTTCAGTATAGCTCTACATTCACTTTCTAATCTTTTATTTTTTGAATAAGCTACCAAATTCTTTTCTTGTTTCAATTTACCCTACAGCAACAGTAGGCGGGATTTTCCAAGTCTAATTATTACCATGCTGTGATGAAAACATTCGTATGATTATAAGTGTCTCACGTATTCTTGGGGCCAGATTTGCATCTGATCTTGGAAAAAGCACAGTAGTGTTTTTTTTCGAGGTAAGTGGCAGTACTATATCTACTGCACATCTGAGATTGGAATCTGGCCCTGGAGGTGAGAGAACTGTAGCAGTGCTACTGGGATAATGGGTGGAAAGCCCTACACTACTGTGCCTGCTTTTAAAATGTTAAAAAAAGAAAAATCCCATCTTCTTGTGTCTTAAGGTTTAGTGATAATGTCGTCTGCAGGGGAGAATTGTTCATCCAGTGTTTTGCCTTGACTAACACCAAACATTGAATTTCCCAGTATCACTTTTAACATGGTTTGGCTGTGAGTGAGTGCATGTCAAATTTAAATTTCACAGCTATGAAATACATGGATATGCTGGTGTCTGCAGTGTTAACCCACAAAAAATTAAGGTTCTTGTGGACAACTGAGTCCTTGGTTGCGTGTAATCTCTCTTTCCACACTTGCACACTTGTGCGGATAACTGTTAAATAGCATAAGTCTCTAACAATCCTTTTCATTGTGTCTGTAGTTCATTGATCAAGCAGCCACATAGTGAGGACAGAGATTTTCTTTTTACTGTATTTTGGCATGTAATCAAGCAAAAGAGATGGTATTTTCTACTGAACATCTGTTCTGGCAAAGACAGGTCTACCAAATCAGCACACTTGCCATTTTGTTACAGAGCTACTTTTAGTGAATTTGCAGCCAAGCATGCTAAAGACTCGAGATTCAAGGCAATTGAAAAGATGAAAGATCGAGAGGCCTTGTTTAATGAGTTTATCACAGCGGCAAGAAAGAAGGAGAAAGAAGATTCGAAGACCAGAGGTGAGAAGGTAAGGTGGTTTTTGTTCCAGTGGTGTGAATGGTGGGAGTGTGAATGGGATGGGACAAAGCCAGTGCTTGGTTTCCAGTGTGCTTTCTCTGAGACTATCCCTTCCCTGCCTGACAAGTTTTCAAATACAAATCCTGGGTCACTGTTTTATCACCTTTTATTCTTCCACTTCGTAGATCTCAGCTTCTGTACCATGTTAAATCCATTGAGTTTATGTATTTAAATGTATCAAATTGAATTTATTTATGTAAATTCAACAGGCATACTGCATTTTCATAAACAAACAATACTGTGCTTTCTTAAATGGAAAGATGTCTGTTTAAAAGTCATCTTGAAGCCTGAAAGAGCACGTGTCCTAGTTGGCTGGAAAACCCAGAACTGGCCATTACTAGCCTGTTCTCTCAGTGGTGGCAATAAGAATTCAGAGTTCATTGTAGCCCACTCCATTTAAATTTCAGAGAGACTTTATCTTCTGTTTTTACTTAAAAAGTAGCACTTTAACGAGTTTCTAGTTTTTGGTAAACGTATCTTACATATAAATTGCTGCTTATCAGAATTAAAGGTCAGCTGTTAAAGATTGATGAATTTCAAATGTCATTTGGCTGCAATGTCAATAGTAGGGAGCAAGCACTCACCACTGGGGAAGCAGACTGCTATGGAGGTGGCATCATAGTGTTACCAGCAAACTATTCAACCACTTCCCTAAATGTCCCTGTGTGTTGTATGAATGGTAAAGAAACCTGTACTGCCTAATCATTTTTGACATTTAAAATCTGCAGCGTTTACTCTGTAAAAGAGAACTAATATAAATTCCCCTCATGCCAATAGAGAGGAAGATATTGTATAACACAACATTGGGCTACTGTGGCCTTTAAAGTAGTACCTTTCTTATATAGATAGCTCCACAGTAAAGAATTTGATTGTTCTAATTGGATGCTTTATTGGTCTTAAAATTATCTGGATTGTTTTGCCAGTATTACCAACGAATGATTATGCTTTACAGAAGAAAAACAATGTATTGAAAGTTCTACATTAACTTTTACAGATTTTATTTGAACCAAAAATATGGAATTTTTTAACTCTCTTTACATCATAACAATAGCCTAATTGAAGATTTAAAGAAAAAATGTAAATATCTTTTGTTTTGATATTGCATGATTGTTCTAACTTAGACAAGTTAAAAGAAGAAAGATTGTATTTCTATTTGCATTTGAAACTAATGTTCTTTCTCCAAAAGCCTTTTGTAACCATTTTATGTATTCTGTTTTATAACAAGTGGATAGACTTTACAGTTATGTGCTGTGCGGCCTGTCAATCAGTTCAGTCTGACAGCTGTCAATCACTGACACGCAAAGTATTATGGGATTCCCTAGTGAGGAAAGAATTGGTATCTCTGTGTGGTGACTTTAGCCTCCCGCAGTTCCGGTACTTTACATTTTTTTAGTTTTTTTCCTTGTGAAGTGATGAGAGTTGTGCCCAGAATGTGTTATCTGCAAAAAAAAAAAAAAAAAAAGTCCTCTAAATACATCTACATTATTTTCAGCCTTATTTTTATTTTGCTTTTAAAATTGCTTAAAATTGTAAATTAAATAAGGCAACTAAAGTGTAACATGAAGCTTTCTCAGCCAATATTAAAAATACAAAGATTTTGTGTGAGGAAGTTAGCTTTTCACAGAAATCTTTAAAGTAAGGGTCTGAAATTTATGTCCTTTGGTTTTCCTGTGTTGAGGCATACGGTTCTGGCAGCTGCTCTTTCTAGATGGGCACAAATTCGTTCCTATGGTAATGGGTCAAAGCCTGCTACTAAGTGACACATGATAAATATTCCTTATATGAGTAGGGCGAACAAGGTTTGGACTAGTGACTGAATTTTGGTTCTGCATAAGGGGAAAAAAATAAATATAGGCTTGTGGTTTGCAAGTTTCTTTACCAAGTTGCCAGTAATCTGACTTAGAACACTATTATTGTCCCTGGGCCTTTCAAAATGAATGTTGGAAGAGTAATGTAGAAGGCCACCAAACTTGCTCCAAGGTGCAGTCTCAGCCTCTGCTAAAATGTACATGGTTGCTGGACTGCCTTTCTAGCCCCCTAGATGGCTCTACCACCTAGCCCTGTCTTTGTTTAGGAGTAGAAAGCACGTCTAAAGCTTTCTACTTTCCAGTCTGTTAAAGTTAAGACAACTGGTCTGTTCCTATTTTATTTCTTTAAGAAATTTGAAGTTTTATAGTCTGTTGAAATCTGGTGTAACAAGATAAGATGTTGCTAGGTTATTCTGGGTTTAGTTCAGGGGTCTCAAACATGCCTGTGAGCTGGATCTAGCCTATGGAACTGTACGGTCTGACCTGTGGGTTACTGGACAAACCCCACGTGCTGGCTTTTGCCCTGCATGTTGTGGTGCATAGCCTGGACACAGCCCCACATGCACTGCATGCAACATAGGGCTGGCACGGGGTACAGCATACAGCCCACATCCTGGGTCTCATGCTGCATGCAGTGCTGGGTCCAGGCAGTGTGCACCCTGTGCTGGCCCCGCATACTATGTGCATAATAAACCAGGGCTGGTGCATGCTGCATACAGCGTGCAGGGCTGGACTGACAGTGCGTGCTGCACCCAACACAGGGGACCAGCATGGGGTGTGTGCTGCCCATGACATACAGGCTGGACTTGGCACTGCACTCAGCACAGGGGGAGTCTGTTGCTGCCTGCAGTGCCAGGTCCAGCCGATGGGCAGTTCATGCCCTATGCTGGTCCCTCAGGCTGGCACATGCTGTGTACAGTGTGTAGGCTGGAATCGGGGCCACAGGCACTGCACAGCAGGTTGCTGTGGTCTGGCCTGCAGACTGGCCCAGCCACGCACATCTGGCCCATGGGGCCAGATGAGATTTGCACCCCTGGTTTAGTTAATGATTTCTTTTTCTTGAGGAGGCTGGTTGCAGTATTTCACTGTCTCACATGCACTGTAAAGAGAATTTTTTTGGTTGTGGAAACATTAGTCCTATAAGTATTTGAAAAGAATGGCAAACAGCATTCTAAGGTAGAAAGCTATTGGTTATGTGATCCTGTTTTCTACTAAACAAACCAGTAGCAACCTGACAGGTAAGAAAAATGTTGGTCCCCCTTGGATGAAGAAATAGTGTCAGTTGGTGAAGTCATACAGGCTTTAGAAAGTGCCAGCTTGTCTTTTCACTCTTTATAGAAACAGGGAACCATGTTGTGTAACTTTTGGACAGGAACTAGTGCCAGTGTACTCCTGCTGGCAACTGTGCTTTGCTTGTCCAGTGTTTTGAGACTTCTTTTCTCCTTTTGTGGGAGACTCACCAGGACGTTCCTCAGGCTTTTGAAATGGGTTTAATAGTCAAATGAACATTTTTCTAAAAAGAAAGTGGGAATGCAGTATACATCCATACAGGGAGCGCTTATTCCTGTCCACACCTTTTTAGCAAGATGCCCTTACTTCATAGACTTCTCTAAAGTAACATCTGAAAACTCCTTTTATTTTACATTTTAAACATAAATTTCTAATGCTGTTGGCTTAGAAAGCTTCATATTTTGATACTGCTTGCATGTTTACTTAAGGTCGATTTGGGAACAACATACCTCATTTTATTTAAAAAAAAAAAAAAAAAGTGAAAGGTTTGTTTTGCATCTTGTTCAACACACCTACAGTAAAGCCTGCAATACTGTAGACAAAATAACACTAAGGAGTTGTTTCCTAATCTGTTGTACTTGCCTTCTCCTTTGAGATAGTGCAGAAAAGTCTATATCGGTTCTTAAAACCTAAGCAATATAAGCATTGTGAAGAGCCAAGTTCATTAGTGGGGAAGCCTGCAGAATTTTGGCTCTGATCTTCATTTCATCTTAACATGTGATAATTGTATATGTGTCATTTTAAGAAACTTGGAAGATTTCAGTTAGCTGGTAAGGTACATAATTTGATAGTCTTATGTTAGCCTTTGGCTCTCTTTGTTAACCTGTTTGTATGGGAGTCAAGGGACTTTGAGGTTCAGGGGAGGGTCAGAGGGCAGGGGATGTGCAAAATGTATAGCTACGCCAGCCTCAGCCAGACATTATTCTACTGTGGTAAAAGATCGTACCTGGTGGGCTCCCTGGGCTTGGAGTGTTGTGAAGGCAGCATACTCAGCCCCTGTGCAGGGAGTGTCTAGAACCATTCACTGAGCTCTGGTCATTCAACAAGTGACGGTAACTGGCTCTTTATTCTCTTGCAACATGGGGACTGAAATGCCATGCCAGGGCTTCTGAGATGTAAAATGGTGGAAATAAAAGAAAAAATCTGAGGTCCCAACAGGGACAAAGAGGAACTTTCACAGAGGCACAATCTTTAAACAAAGTGGCTGCTCTTGCAACTGCTAGTGCCAAGGGGCTAGTGAGGTACCAGTCCTTTTGTATTTCTAGGTTGCTTCTTCTGTCCCGAGATACAAAGTTAGCAGTAGGATCAACTCTGCCTCCTTCAAAATGCACTGGTCACATACACTGTGTGGGAGGATTTTATTGTCTGTAACATGCCATTTCCATTTGAAAAAGGAGATGCAAACTTTTGTTTGTTTTAATATATATTGACACATTTAGTATATATTCACACAGACATGTTTAATGATCTGTTAAATTACAGTACTTGGGCACCACTTTTGATTATGTCCATCTGCTTAAGATCATGTATGGACTTAATTGTTGAATTTTGGTTCAAAAGGATTTAATGGTATAAAATTAAAGTATCACAAGCCATATTAGATAGGGTAGATTATACAGGTGCCTATTTAATATCAGATACAATATTTATCTCTATCTATTGTATGCTTGGAGCGTGAAATATTTGCTTGATTTACTTGCTCTCTCCAACTTGTTGTGGATGCCCTAAAGTATCGGTTTGTGCAGTATAGATGTTGTACAGATTGGTCTTTAAAAATGAACAAGGAAAATTAAATTACAGCAAGCCAAGAAAACTGTGCAAATGACTAATTCCTTAAAAGTACAGTTTATCTTACATTTACAATATCATCCTAGTTTCTCTTGCATTCGTAAAACTTTTCCCTAAAGTGAAAGTGGATTTTAGACACATTTGTCCCTAAAATTCAATAAGCAATTTTATCAATTTCTGATAATACGTAAAATTCAAATAGTTCCCTCCTTTGAGGTAAGTCTGCCTCCTTTTTCTAGTAGTAAGTATTCAGGAGTCAAAGCTTGTTGCTCATAAATTTTGTTTTCTTCCTATATCTTGTGTTAAAATGTAGATCAAAATGGACTTCTTTGAACTACTGTCTAATCACCACTTGGACAGTCAGTCTCGCTGGAGCAAAGTGAAGGACAAAGTAGAGACTGACCCCCGTTACAAAGCAGTGGATAGTTCTTCACAGAGGGAAGATCTTTTTAAACAATACATTGAAAAAATAGCCAAGGTGTGCATGTAATACATGGGTACAAAGTATTGCTTATACTGTTATTTACACTATCATTAGCATATTTGTTTATATAAGCAAATGGAAGGGCAATATCTAATGCTATCACACTGATGCAGATTATGAAAAGCAGCAAGACATTTCCCAGTTCTGTATTTGTATGGGGCACAACTAGACAGGCATATACCATAGCTGCTAATGGACAGATTTAAAGTACATGGGAGCTGCTTCTACCACTGTGCAAAAACATGGCAGAGAAAAAGTTACTGGAGAGAATCAGTCAAGTAGAGTGAGGATGGTGGAGCCTGCGATACCTCCACTCGCTATGGAGCCTCACAAATTGCAGGCTACCAAGCCAGGGATTTCCAGGCAGAGGTGTTTTCCTTTTCACATGACCTTCTTTCAAAGAAGTGTTTGGGTTTTTTTGTTTTTTTTATGAGTATAATTGCCTCCTATATAATTCATCCATTGGTTCCTTCATTTCAATCTGATACTTCTACCTCCCTCTTCAAGGAGCTGATGCCATGGATGAAAACTTAAAACTGATTTGATTAGCATTTTATCCAGCAATTTGCTGTTGGGTTTGTCACTGTACAAATGGAACAAAGCTGTACAAAGCTCCATAGAGTAGTTTTTCCATGACCCAATGGAGTACCCCCATTTTACATAGAGCAGAAATTTAAGTAATTTGTCTGTCACATAGCATGGTAGTGAACTATTTCCCCTGCACGTGGCTCACAGGCTCTTTCTAATATGTATTACTGCTCAATATTTATTGTTGATTTGTTAAAAGGAGTGTACAGTATGGTTTGCTACTTTGTTTGTGTGCATGAGTAGAGGGGAATATCTGGCATGAACTGTTAGACCCAGGATTTAGCTGTTAATTGTCTCCAAATGACAAGGTTATTCACCCCCATTGGGATGGGTTAATAATGCCTTTTGAAGGATGCTTGTTTTTAAATATTCTTACGCAAATCGTTGAATAGCCTGCAGTGTATTTTCAAACACCGTGTTTTCATTATTGAACTGGGCTTCTTCAGCTTTCAGTTCACAAAAAAATAAATCTTTAGCCAGACTCAGTCTGCACTGGACATATTTCTGAAGACATGAGTGCTGGCCAGTGAACTGTCTACACTCTGGTCCTACTGTTTCTGGTATAGTTTGAGGAGTAAGCCAGTTCAGTTTTTTTTCAGAACTGCCCCTGTGCTGGCAAACCTTGGTAATTTTAAATGTGGCTTGCTTTTATCTGTATATTGGTTTACTTGGTGATTCTCATCATCATCATGTTTTCATTAACTGTAAATCTTCAACTTGCTTGACTAGCTATTCAGAATGTTACATCTTTGTTGTTGTTAATGGGGAAAATACTGTGATCCTGCATCTGTTTCAGAATTTAGACTCTGAAAAAGAAAAGGAGTTGGAAAGGCAGGCTCGTATTGAGGCAAGTTTGCGTGAACGAGAAAGGGAGGTTCAAAAAGCTCGTTCGGAGCAGACCAAGGAAATTGACAGAGAACGGGAACAGCACAAACGTGAAGAGGCTATCCAGAACTTCAAAGCTCTCTTATCTGATATGGTGAGACTCCCTTGGTTCTCTCCCTCTTACTACTCTAGTACTGTATCTTTTTGAGAGAACTTGTAACTGTTACACCAAAAATAAAATTTCTTTGATTACAGTGCAAAGCATTAGTACTTGTTAAACTTTTGCTTCCATGATAATCTCATAGTTTTGAAGATTTTCATTTTGTTGGGAAAATATGCTTCAGTCTTAACAGTTAGTGAGATTCTATCCACAGCATTTAGTTTTATAGATGGGCTTTTTTAAAAAAGAAAAGGAAAAAGATAAATAATTAATTTTGAAAACTTAATTTCCCAAGACAGAAGCTCGATTATGCACAGTGGAAAATCAGCTTTGTTTGACTTAAGACTATTCCTCTCACCTTACTGTGTTTTTTTTTCCTGCCCACCTTGTACCCCCAGCATAACATCTGACCCTGTTAGATTTCTCAGTTGGAAAGTACTCTAGACCAAGGTCTTGAAATTAACCATCCCTGAATGGTACATGTTGGTGAAATGAGGGTTTCATGGCATGTGGTGGGCATCAGGGGGTGACTAAGCACAGATTCCAGTCTCAAAATCTTTTAGATAGGGCAGTACATATTTTGCTTTGCTTCTGATCCAGCATTTTTGCTACTGCCATGCAGCAGCTCCTCAGGGATGCCCTCTGGGGCCAGAAACATTGCATTGCAATGATTAAAGCTTCTAGAGACTTTTTGGAAGTCATTATGATGCATCTCAGAAGCTGCTTTCCCAGACCACAGGTGGTTAATACAGTATATTATGCATAGGGGGGAGGGCCTGATTTCTTTCTTGTGAGAATACAGGGTAGCTCAGAAGGGGGGAAGCAGTGTATTATCTTCATTTGAACTGATGAATAATGAGTCTCCCTGCAGCATGCATTGGTATTTGTATGAAAACCACAATTTGTCTCATCACTTATGTTTCAACTAAGAGTTAAAAGCTGACAATCAGATATAAGTCAAGTATTTGAAAAATTGTCCATTAATGAATCGTAGGAACAATATTGTTTCTGTGAAATATACATTTTTTTTCCTGATTTAGGTGCGATCTTCAGATGTTTCATGGTCTGATACCAGGAGGACTCTTCGAAAAGATCATCGGTGGGAATCTGGCTCCCTCCTGGAAAGAGAAGAGAAAGAGAAGCTTTTTAATGAACACATTGAAGCACTTACCAAAAAAAAAAGGGAGCACTTTAGGCAACTTCTGGATGAAACCTCAGCGGTAAGAGATCTGCATCCTGTAGCTTTACTTTTGAGACCTAAGTTCATTGTGACCTTTTTTTTTTTTTTT